TCGTCCTTGATAATTAATAAATCGCTTCATTTGGGCAGGAGATGTTGACGATTGAAAACGATTCGTTCCTGCTGGAGGGGAAAATTTGGAGAATTAATTTTAGGAGATAAGGAAGTGCCTCGCGAGAACCCCTGAATCGATGTAATAACGTTATCTAGTCATTAATTCTGTTGTACCCTCTGTTCGGATCGTAGTGATACATTTTGGATGAAAGCTGATCTGATCTGGGTTGAACAGGCGTTTTGAGGAGGATTATGTGGAAGTTTGGTTCAACTTTCGGAGGGCAATCTTCTTGGTGGCATGGAACATTGAGTTTATGTGATCGTTGGGGTGAGGAATGGTGGAACGACACCTTTCTGAGATATTCGGGAAATAGATTGTTCAATAATCTGGAAGAAGTCTTTGACGCAGCGATCCCAAAATACCAGAAATTGGATTTTCAATTGTAATTTCAATCGTCGCTGTGTGAATTCCTGAAAGCATGTCGAGACTTGGGTCTTCTCAACCTAAAATTGAATGCGGATCAGCGAAAGGTGCTTTTTCTACAGAGGGTTATGTGATGGATGGAGGAGATTATGTGCTTCAGGGAAGAAAAGGCTATTGTGCTATACTTCAATAGCTTCAACTAACATTTCCGGATTCTGACAGTCCAAATTCTCATCAACATGTCTTCATTCAGTTTTACATCTGAAATGGGTCAAGAAATACTACCTCTTTAACTCATTTTGCCATCAGATTAATCAATCACCCAAAAGAAGTCTTGACAAAGTAGATCATCTTCTCGAATATTGAAGACTCAATACTTTCAATCAACACTTCGCAAATTCCTTAAAGCATCTCAAGCCTTCTGGCTTGAATACCAAATGTTGTCTTTTCAAAAGAGCTTGAACCCCTCTCAGGTCAGACGATTACGTAACGGATGGAGTCCCAATGGATGAAGAGGCATCCTGAGTTATGCTTCTGCATCTTCAACTCACATTTCCTAACCCTGACAGCTCCAATTATCATCAACATGTCTTCATTCTGTTTTCTATCTAAAATGAATCAAGAAATACTACACTCCTTGACACATATAACTATCAGATGCATCAATCCTCTAAAAGAAGGATTAACTTGATGAAAATTTTCTGTCTGAACCATCTTCTCGAATATTGAAAACCTAATACTTGCAATCAACACTTCGCGAATTCTTGAAAGCATCTCAAGCCTTCTGGCTTGAATACCAAATGTTGTCTTTTCAAAAGACCTTGAACCCCTCTCAGGTCAGACGGTTACGTAATGGATGAAGTCCCGATGGAAGAAGCGGCGTATTGGGCTACACTTCAGCACCTACATCTCACATTCCTTCATCCTGACAGTCCAAATTCTCATCAACACCTCTTCATTCTGTTTTCTACCTAAAATGAGTCAAGAAATACCTCTTTGACACATTTAACCATCAAGTTAATCAATCCTCTAAAAGAAGTCTTGACTTGACGAAAATTTTCCGTCCGAACCACCAACAAGTAGATCGTGTTCTCGAATATTGAAGACTCAATACTTTCAGTCAACAGTTCGCAAATTCCTGAGAGCATCTAAAGCCTTCTGGCTCAGATACCAAATGCTGTTTTTTCCAAAGAGCTTGAACCCCTCTCAGGTCAAACGATCACGTAACGGATGGAGTGCTAATGGAGGAAGGGGCATATTGGACTATACTTCAGCACCTTCAACTCACATTCTCTCATCCTGACAGTCTAAATTCTCATCAACATGTCTTCATTCTGTTTTCTATCTAAATGAGTCAAGGAATACTTCCTCTTGTACACATTTAGTCATCAAATTAATCAATCACGCAAAAGAAGTCTTGACACAGTAGATCATCTTCTCGAATATGGAAGACTCAATACTTTTCATCAACCTTTCGCAAATTTCTTTAAGCATCTCAAGCCTTCTGGCTTGACTACCAAATGTTGTCTTTTCAAAAGAGCTTGAACCCTTCTCAGGTCAGACGATTACGTAACGGATGGGGCCCCAATGGAAAAAGAGGCGTATTGGGATATACTTCAGCACCTTCAACTCACATTTCCTAACCCTGACAGCCCAAATTCTCATCAACATGTCTTCATTCTGTTTTCTACCTAAAATTAGTCAAGAAAGACTACCTCTTTGACACATTTAACCATCAGATTAATCAATCATCTAAAAGAAGACTCGACTTGAAGAAAATTTTCTGTCCAAACTACCAAAAAGGAGATCTCGAATGTTGAACATCCAGTACTTTCAATCAACACTTCGCAAATTCCTGAAAGCATCTCAAGCCTTTAGTCTCGTCAACCGAACATTGTCTGGACCCCTCCCACCGTTCCAACGATTATGTAATACCTGAAGTAGATACCGTTCATGACAGAAGACACATACAGCCATCAGCCAAGCTTCAACCCCTTCACCACCCATCGACCCACACCAAAACGTCACCATTCCTTCCCACCAATTAAAAACTCAAAAAAAAAATGAACTCTCCCCTTAACAAAGCCATCACCCCTTTCCAAATCCACGATTACGTCATACATAGGATACCGCGTGGGGATAATGGAAGACCCCACGAGCATTGCGGAGTGGTGGAAACGCCCATTCACTGAAGAGGGCTAACGCGAGAAAGGAATAAAAATGAGGGCAACCCAGAAAGAAAAAAAAAACTTTCAGCGCGTAAAGTGTGTGTATTCACATCAGTCGAGGTTCTTCAATAGAAAAAGAAGGGCCAGAAAAGGGGGGAAAATAACTGTGGATTGTAAGGGGGGGGGGCAGGGGTCTTTTAACGCTGGAACTGTGCGCACTCTAGGCACCTAAGAGACTCCCTGTGCCCTGGTTGCGTATTGATCCATTGCATTTTGCTAGATAGGGGGCGCCTGCACGGGTCAGGGGTGACTGGATGCATCTGCGCATGCGCGTGGCTTGGTCAATCCAACATCGACCCATAACCAGTCGTTACTGATATCGAGAGAGAGAG